TTAATATGACTCCTTAGCTCCTTATTTATTTATCAACACATCATTTAAATACGGCTCCACATACATGTTATCATCTCATATTGTACTGACGCAATCTTCGGACCCACATCGTAGAAAAATGATCGGAGTTTGGTTTTTCCTCGCAGCAGTCCTCCAGGCACAGGTTAGTGAATTACTGCTATTGTAGTTGAATATCTAACACTAATTTGGAAATACACTAATTTATTTTTAATTACATATGTTAATTAGCTAATATTAATACTATTATTATACAAATATTAATAATATTAACAAACTTTTTTGCATCTCTATTTTGATGAAGCACTAGTTTTCCTGCTTTATGGAAAAAAAACACCACCAAGACGCCTGCAAATGTAATCCCTCTCACCCCGCCCATCCTTTACATCTATATTTTATACTGTCAACAATCTAGAATACGTTTCTCATTATTATATATATTGAGCTCCGTTCTTGGACATGATTGGATCGTAATGATTGGCATGCATAGTCAAAATTTACAATAAAACTAGACACACACTCTTGCCGGTAATTTGTACTAATTATTAAATGTAATTCTACAGTCATAGATGATAATTATTAGAACATGTTATTTATCGACATAATAATACTTGTAAATAACATTGAAGTTGCCATTATTAAAAAAAAATAATATTGTGTTGTTACAATAAATTAATTGTCAGAGCTGTAAAAATTCGACAGAAATAGTAACATATATTATTCAGTTAGAGGAAGCTATATTTGTTTTAGGAATAGTAGCATATATTATTTAATATGTCAAAGCTGTTAACATCCGATGTAAGAATGACACCAAAATAGCACCCTGTATTATTTAGTCTCCAGGAGCTGTCATTATTCAATATAGGAATGACACCAAAATGTATAACATAGTTGTTGGTAGCTGTTAATATACGATATAGAATTGGTACCAAAATAGTAGCATGTACACATAGTTGTCGGGAGTTAAGATTCGATATAGGAATGATACCAAAATAGCATATATTATTCATTTTTTTGGAGCTGTGATTAATCAATATCAGATTCAATTCACAATGTGGTAATGTTAAATTCCGGGGAATAATTTGATATTGAATAGTGAAGTTGTACCTTTCCAAAAATCTCCTCCACAAGCTGGCTCAGCATGAGGGTTTTCGTCCTCTCCTGTTTTGTGATATCTTCTAGAGCAGTGACGGAACAAGGAATGGCAATTTTTATTTTTTACTTCGTGTCCTCCCAGTATCAAATATGTTTATATAGAGCTGTGCATTCCACAGGAACCACACTTCCAACATACTTCCAAAGCGTCCGTGAACAGTATTATGACCGGTGTTCATGTATTAATCTGTGATCTTTGTCTAATGGTGGTTAAATCCATCCACTACTCATCTTGAATTTACAAGATGAGTGTTCCGGCGAAGTACTCCACTATCACCTTGAAGTATTTCATTAGGACTACGTGTATGTGACAATGCCGTCGCAGTTTAGAATCAGTTTACCAACAGCTAATCATATTGCTTCTTTCTTCAACGCGCTTGACCAAGCTATCAAAATCTTCGAAGCGGAACTAATTCACGAGACGCTCCACGTTGCTATTTAAGACGCGTACCACTACACCATGTATTTGCTCTGCACGAGATGCTGTGAAACACCGGTCGAAAAGCCGGTGAAATTAGCTAAAATCAAGAAAACAGCACAAACTTAACTTTGAAGAAATCTTAAACAACCAAATTTAAATATGTTGCACCTGTAAGGATAATCTTGTAACACTGTTCAGGGGGTGTCAACAACCATCCCAAAATACCGTTTTCTGAAAATGTATTGTCGGGTGTGTTTAAACCGAAGAACGAAAAACAAGAACGAACAACGAAGACAGAATATTCATACTGTTTAATCATAACAGTTTAATACATTTACATGCAGTAATCGTTCATACTGTTTAATCATAGCATATATATTCTTTGTTCTTCGGTTTAAACACACCCTTTGTTTTCACCATGATGATGATAAAAATGCCTGACCCGAGTATAAATGTCGCTGCACACAGTGATAGCTGTGTTGGCTTGGATGTCGAGGCGCTTTCTGGCAGTCATTGTAACATAGCTTTCTATTGGTCGGTCAGTGGCGGATCCAGAGGAGGGTCAGGGGGGCCATTCCCCCCCCCCCCAAACACATGACGATTCATATCATCTGGATTACGCATAGCTTCTCTGCGATTTACGCTCCGTATATTTTAAGCGAAGCTTGGACCCCCCATACATTTTACTGGATCCGCCACGGTGGTCGGTAAACTTTCTATCGCGCAACCACGTGACATACACGCTTATGAATAGAATTACCGCACGGTGTTGTAGAGAGAAGAATGTCCGAGCGGAACAACACCGTGCAGGCGGACGATGTCCACCACTGGGCTGGATGTGCTAACATCTGGACATATTCTTGAGGGCTGCTTTGGAAACAAGACCTTTCATGGTTGAAATAATTTCCACAAAGCTCAATCAATTGTCTGAACTGCACATATATTACTATAGCAAAACCACCAAAAAATGAAAATGGAGGATATTGTCACTCCAAACCAAATTACTAGGGCAAAAAAAGACTCACGCCATCCACTAAATAACTTTGCGAAATTTACAGCAAGAACACAATAGTTTCACAACTACCGTCAGTTCTCGTTAAATGATACACACTACAATAATAAAAATATGTCACAAAACAGTAATAATATATAACAATATCATACGATTTCAAGAATTGCCAACCGGTTCACAACGTTCTGTACAATTCCAAAAAATTCGCTGACCAGGAGGCAAGTATAAATCACACAGTCCAATGCTGAATGTCAACAGAGCTGCTCCGACGCTGGTTCGGCAGTCACTTATGTCTCTACACGGCACTGGGATAATGTAAACTTTCTACGACATCTCGATCGTCCGTGGGATGCAACACTCTGAACTCTGAACCATATTTTCGATCGATGTATCAAAGTTACATTATAGAACTTAGTAAGTATCTGTACAGCAAAAACAAAGATCAAACTATCACTCCCGGTCATTTCTGTCCACCGCCTCGTTTTTAAGAAAAAAAGAACCCAACCTCGTTCGCACATATGAAATCTAATGAATACGCTCATATGAGCTCAAGTAAATGACTAACTTAACTTTTGGATTTCGGAGAATTGCGCTAGTAATATTATTTATTATCTTTCGTTACATGTATGATGTTGCAGAAGCTGGGTGGAAGAGCAATATTCTGACATTTTTTTATACGTGTACTTTTCTGTTCATTTCTGCTATGCTAACTTTCTGCATATATTTTTCATGATTTTCAAAAAGTACACTACAAAGCTTTGGTTTTTAAAATGAATGCACATTTTAGTTGGAAAAACAAACGTATATGTAAATGAGTCATTTGTTATGCCATTTTATGTCAATGTATTCACGGGCATATACCAGGAATACGATACACGGCCTCTACTTTGTCATAACATTGAAACATAAATTTAATTGAATTGAATTAACTTGAGAATCAGTTTCTTTTTCTGTTCTTTTTATTTTGTTACTTGCTATGGACATATTTTATTTCTTGATTGTTGTGACATTTTACTGTAGACTTCAATTCAAATACGAATTTTACACTAGATACAATTTTGCTGATGATCTAAGGACTGAGGCTGTGTCGTTGTTTAAATTGCTCTCTGGTTTAGTACAAACTAAATTAAATTACATTTTTCTCTTGTGATAAGTTTACATTACATAGATATTTATGCATATTTTATATTATTTATATATTTTTTGCTCACAGATTTAACATGCTGGGTATTCAGAAAGAATTTTGGTAAAGAAGAGTTAAAAAAAAAATTCTCTGATATAAAATTTCAGGAAAAAACGAATTCGATGCTTAATTTCATTTTGTTGTGATGATCTATTTTATTTCTCATTGTATATTATATCACTATAATTATCACTCTACCTCAATAGGTTATATTGTACCGTAATTCTGTGGTATTCGACAGTTTGTTATCATATCTTATTATGTAATTTGGGACGATCATGCAATATTTTCAAGATGGCGGAAAAGACTCCCATTAATTGTCACAGGCTTGTTGAAGCGGGAGGGTCGTCACCTGCGCAAAAACGCAAACGCTTGTTTGTAAACAGGTCTCGTACCACCAATCAAGCAATGGCTGCTCTAGCCAATTTTAATGCCTAGAACGAACCAATGACATTTTTTAAATTTGTTTTTTCTCAGGTGCTCCCTGTTTGAGGGCGTAATCACCTGGGTCAAAGATGAGACCAACATGTGGTCTTTTGTTTACTACTTAGCGACTGTGTACCTGTGGGTTTATTCTGTGTGTATTTGGATGTTCTAATCTTGGTGTTTTTCAAGTGATCCAAATACAGTAGGTGTGTCTTGTTTACATGACATTTGTAAGAGTTTGAGCTGGCCAACATGTTAGTTTTTTCATATGATTGTTTACTGGCATGGTGATTCCCTATTTTTGAGCCATGTTTTCAACTTTCTTCATCATTTTCATATAGCAATCTCGTCATATGTTAACATTGTCGTCTATGGAAATTCAATTAGTGGTATGAGCCCAACAATGACACGCTATGGCCATATAACGCATGCGCAGGTGACGACTCCCCGCTTTTAGTTCTTAGCTTAACACAGCAAACGATTGAATCGGGAAGATATAATATAAAAGAACAGTTAATGCGAGAATGGTCGCATTTATATACTGCCGCTATACTGTCGTTGCGCGAAATGTGTGATATATACATGTATAATAACTTCACTCTAATATTAATTATATTTTCTTGTTCATACTTTTCTAATAGGCAAATATTGGTGGTCGACCTTCAAGAAATTATAATGGTGAATATGAATTATGCATTACAATTAAGTAAATGCATCGTTATTATAGTTAGAGGTAGCGATGCGTGACAGTTGATAAACAAACACACATTATATTCATATTTCAGGGCCTGCGTTGCTTGGTACTGGTGAAGATAAGAAGTTGTACTCCAAAAGTTATTCGGATAGACAGTGGGACGGTCCTGTTGAAAATTCTTGCTGTATGATGAGAATTGCAGTCATGCAAGATGGTAGCTTACTTGGAGTCGGTGAAGACAATCAACTATATACTAAGACGTCTATTTATGCTGGCAGGTGGAGGGTCGTTGAGAACAGTTGCTGCATTCAAGATGTGACAGTGCAACAGGACGGTACAATCATCGCCGTATCCTCCGCCGTCAGTCGGAAACTGATGACGCGACCCGATCTGACCAGTGAATGGACAACCAGCCGTAAATTCAACGATGCTATCCGCATCGATATACTACCAGATGGCACTATGTTAGGTGTCACTTCATCTGGAGGACTGAAGCGACGGGAGGGCGGATTTGATGGTACATGGAAATACCAAAAAAGTTTTGGTATGAAAGCAGATGACATTTCAATTCAACCTGATGGAACCGTACTAGGTATTGAAAAAGGCGGGTGCGGTGTTCACGTCCTCGACTTAGAAACTGGTAAATGGGGCGAAGAATTACTTGAATCTGAATGTGTAACAGCCATTGCGTCACCTGGCAATTTAAGTGAGTATATAACACGGGGTCTTATATAATCTTATTGTAGAAAAAAAGATGCGTTAGCGGGATTAGTTTTTGCATTTTTGTTTTTCTACGAGCGGTTTTAGTAAAATAGCTACTGAATCTAAAATTATTTAGCAAATTATGTATTCATGCATGCAAATTGTTATTCATTATCTGCATTCTTTAAGATATGATACACAAATACTCTTGTTGCGATTAGAAGTGAGTTGTGCGGGATGGTGTATTGAATGTCTGTGCATGCGCAGCGAAGTGCTGAACATTGTTTTATGCGAACCAATTGCACTGAAATAAGTGAAAGTCGAATTGTTTTCACGTAAATTCGAGCCAATATCGCAAAAATGTTATTTACATATATTATTGTAGTGTTTCATAATTTATAATCTAACTCTTTCCCTGCAAGGGGGGAAATGTACCAGGCAGGAAGTACATTTTTAGTTTGTGTCTAGTATGAATTCATTATTTAATATCTCGATTCTTAATGAGCAATATGACAATGGTTGAATTATGTGTTAATCAAATAATCTCCCTGTTACTGTCGCTTAAGGGTATGAAACAAAATAATTACTACATGTAATGGTAACAACATGTTAGTCGAATCTACTGTTATTAACCGGCAATTTGTCTGTTCTGAAGTATTCCCTGAACCCACAGTCGCACCAACACAGGCACCAACAGAGGCACCAACAGAGGCGCCAACTGAGGCACCAACCGAGGCACCAACCGAGGCGCCAACCGAGGCGCCAACTGAGGCACCAACCGAGGCACCGCCGCCACCTTCAAGTAAGCAATCATTTACCAATTTAAACAGGCTTTTCATATGTATAATATTCCACATATAGTTGTTTATGTTCTAACACCTTAGAAGAATCTAATTAGATAAAATTCGTGTGTAATAATAATCGAACATTAGAATATAATTTGAAACTCATTGACCGACCGACGCGCAGCGGACTGTCTGGCGAAGGTGTACTGTCTGAGTCAGTGCATACTTTGGTATCCTCTTAATAACCTTATTTAACCATATTATAATACATCTTTTCTTTCCAAGGAAACATCATGGGAATGCCGAAATCCAAAATGTTTAGAACAGAATCAGCGAACTTTATGTGGAGTCTGGTCAAACCCTAGTGGCAGCCATGTTTTTTTTTTCATTATTAGAGGACGCTTACGCGCGTAATCATTCCATATTTGAAATTCGCTTTTCCTATTATGGTAGGATGAAAATACCCCGTAAATACCGCAAAATTACGGCACCATGTAACTTATGGCGTTACGGTGACAGATGTTTTAGACAAAGTTCGAAATTGGGGAGTATTAATCTGGGTTACGTTCTTGCCTGTGTTTGTCCGGAATCATTTCGCAGTTATGCTCTGAATGATAACATTGAAACAAAACACAAGTCAATGATATATGACTTACACATGTACTTCGACTTATATATTCCCACTTAATTTAATATAACTGAATGGCGGCAATTTTTGTCCTCACATTATTTCTGTTGGTTAAACCTATCCGAAACGGTTTCTCGGAGATGGACAAGAGTATTAGGTGTAAGCATTCTGTACTAGGATAAGCATACTGGGATACAGATTAAAGCAAAAATTATTGACGGGCAGTAATTTTTACTCATGCTCATACATATTTATCGCCAATATAAGTCTTTATTCAGTTGAAAGTTTGCTCACTGGTACTTATGTGTGACTATATGTGATTTTACAATAATCTTTGCAAAGTCTTTACCACGTCATGTTCGTGTTCTTAACTAGTATAAAACTACACAATTCGTGTAGATCTTATAATTATACTACACCAATAAATTGCAATACAATATCATGAATATATATAGAGAGAACGAGAGACAGTATTGTCAATATTACACATGTAATGCCTCATATGAACTTTGTGAGAACATAGTTTATTAGTTGCAACACAAATTATGCTTGGTAGGCTCACTCATCTCCATCAATATCGTTTGCGCCTGCAATAGTTTCAAGCTGAAAGCGGTTTTCACCACACAATTAGTAAGATTCACAATTAGTAAGAAGTAAACAAAAACATGCTCTACATACATCACAGCAAGGGTCAGTAATGATACAGGAAGAGGGTAAGAGAACATTCAATAAACTTGTAAAATATCACATAAATAAACTGGACATGACAATAATATATACTATGAATTAACAAACATGTTATATTTACTGAAAACCCATGATTAACTAGTGTGAGTGTATGAATGTCTGGTACCTGAATTTCCAGACGAGGAGAAAATCGTGGTGCGGAATAGAATAGAACAGTACAGCAACCAGCAGTGTTAGACACCCGTTTAATGCGCCTAACTTTAGGCTATAAATCCTACCTTTCAGTATGAGCTATCATCAGTTTATACTATACAACATGTACATTACAATTACAATCCAGACATCTAGTGACATATGTTACTATATTACTCAACAATATTCACTGATTTATTCGTAGAATCCAAAGTTTTTACTGACAAAGTGCAGTTTAAGGATTCTTATGCTGAATGTTATAAAAGAGGTATGATGCTTGCTGTTCCAACTGATGAGAGTGCATATAATGACATAGTTAATGCAATCAAAGCAATGGGGGAGCTGGATACAGAATATATCTACTTTGGCATAAGGAAAATCGACGGCGACATTAAAACAATCTATGGAAGTCGTGACTTCTACCGAGCGTTTGCACCTAACGCACCCAATGGTAATAGCGACAATTGTGTCGCCATTTCGTAAGTGATTCTTTGTTCTTTTCGTCACATGTGGATATAAATCGTTTAGAGGTGGCAAAATTATAATGCTATCTTAAGTATAATGGTGACAAAAACTGGATACCAATTATTGCTTCTGAATTGATTGTCAATCAAAAAATCTTATTAATTTTCAGTTGTGGCATAACGGAATTTACCGCCGTGTGTGCGCGTTCTAGATTTCATATTCAAATTCAAGGGATAAAATGCACCTTGTAGAACATACGCGTAGATGTACGAGGCGCGTGACAAAATCGACAACAATTTTAATTATATTTTAACTAACTAGCCGTAATACCAATCATTTACTATTTCCATACATAAAGTAAAAAAGGTAATTTTCAGTTTTTTAGTGACTCCTCGTGTTCACCACACGACGTCACAAGTTCTATTTTAACGCTAAATTGCATTGAACGTGAACATTCGATGTTTTTTCGAGTTATTTGGAATCAGTTATGCATTTAAGCAAGCTAAATCAGTCGAGGATGATCACATATCACAGACTTAAGAGAAAAACCTGACTGCACCACTTCAGTTCCAGATTATCAAAACTCTAATAATACCAAAGATTTTATATATTTTAAACTTGATCAATATACATGGGCTTTACAGAATAGCACGCAACACTATGATATGTTACATAGGCCAAGAGGGATTGGGTATGTCGAATATTTGTGCAATGCAAAAAGCCTTTAAAGTAATGTGGGTCAAGCATTATCTGTCTGATACTCAACATTAATGTGCCTCAATTTTATGCAGATTTATTAAATTTATGGAGTGGTTTGGGTCAAAATGGCTATAATTCCCCTTCAAATGAAATTATATGGAATAACAAGCTTTGTCGATATTGCAGATATTTTCCATAATGCAGGGAAAATTAGAAATTAATTAATAATCTGTTTATTGGAGCTTACCTTGACTGGACATTCATTTATTATCTGCCCTATAAAATCACAATATGCAACAAACTGTAACAAACGAGAATTTCAATGGAAATTAGGCCACAATATTATTTATACAAATGAAAAGTTATTCCATTTGATTTCAACATTAGTAAGTATTAGTATTACCATAATCAAAAACAAAAGGGAAGAAGGGACCACAAGCATCTAGTTCCAGATACAAGACTTTGCTCCAGCCAGGTTCTAGCAGCGTGCTATATTCAGACTGATCATGTTATAATTGACGAAAATTCACAACAATGTTAATGAATGCTTTGAGGGTATGCTGGAAATGGAATACCTGCCAGATTCAATCACTGTAGAGTTGTTGTATTATTGTATTCTGTTTCTCCCCCAAAGGGTTAAACAAGACTACAAGTACGTCGATGTTGACTGTGGGTCAAAAGCTAGGACAGGGCCAGAGGCTATGTTTGTATGCGAACCACTAGGTAAAACATTTATATATTAACATGATTTTACTTTTTTAGTTTTAGAAAAATTTCGATTTACCCAAGTCTTGTAATCTGGTAGTTTTGATGACCAATTATTAAAATGCTAGGAAATCAGCTCGTCCTGATTATTATCGTCGATTATTATCGTTAATGTTGTTCTGTTTTCTTAACTCAAAATAAATGATCCACTCTCATAAGATTGTATATGTGGTGATTTTTTATCTTTGGTGATTACTTATATCTAGATAAATGGTATTCTATATTTCAGATCCTTATTATGCTACAGAACTAGTCAAATACAAAATCTTCGACACAAGGACGTCTCGTGATGACTCAATTAGAAATTGTAAAAATCGAGGTATGGTACTTGCTACAGACCCTAATGAAATGACACATGCTGCCCTTATGATCAAGATATGGATAACTGTGTCATTAAAAGAGAATTATCACATTGATGCAGTAAAAGGAGGTTCTACCGGTGTGGTATCGAGTACAGGGAGAAGTCAGAATTTTAAACCATTCGCAAAGGGTGAGGTTGATGGACAAGGTAACTGTTTCTATCTACGGTAGGTACTGTTATGTTACCTTGTGTGTCACCAAATGAAAGTTTATATTGTTACGAAGGAACTGTTTCAAATAATCATTCGGGGGATTTGGATTAAGGCACCAGTTTTCTTATTTATGTTCTATTTATGTTTATGTGTCAAACTTCAACCTGTTTGCGTTATTAATACTGTACAGTACTGATAATCTGAACATATTAATATGATTTATTTCAATTAAATGTCGAGGACGAAGCTTTGACATATATTGGTTTTCAAATAATGTTATTGACAATCCGTTGGTCTTTTGGTTTTGGACGTATATACACAATTGACCTTATTGATATGACCCTGAAAACAAATTTCTACAGACATCGTTTTAGTAGACTTTCTCTTTAAACAGTTTATTATGATAGGTGATAAATTGGAAAGCTACCTCCCTGGAGTTGCTGTATATACTTTATAGAAACAGGAACACACAACTAATGATACATGCACAAGGAATATATTCTAATACATTGTAATTAAGTACAACATGTACCACATACCATGGTTGTTAAGGACGGTTATATGACATGTAAAAGTTTAAGATTAGAAAATATGATGTAATGTAAATGGGTTTAAGCACAAATATGTGAACAATTCAAGTTGGATAGTCGGGTGATCAATATATTGTTTTCAAATCAATCACATACATTGCAGTGGCTCATGGATACTGCGAATTACATTTTAGATCGCGATTTCAGTTGGGAACTAATTAACCCATATGATACTAATGGCTATCAGATTGCCTTCACCATGAGGATGGTTTGAAACGGGAAACTTTGGGTTCTCCTAAAATTATATGTAAATGTTAAAATACTTGTTAAAACTAGAGAATTAAAGACATTGTCACAGACAAAAATAACTCGTAAAAATAAAAATAATGAAAGTCACTAATGTTGTATAACAGGTATCAAATATATTGAGGTAGTATTTATTTGCTATAAATAGAGAACTGAAAATATATTTTTGAAATATCCAGCATTGTTATCTAGAAAACAGACCTCTGGAAAATGACCAAACGGTTCCATTGATCAAAACTGCGTAAGTTAGGAAATAAATTATTTCCAATTCATTAGCAACACTAAACACATTTTGAAGTAGGTATTTATCGATCAAATTACCTATATGAAGTTTATAACATTCAGCTTAGAAAGTGTATCATTGATATGAATTCGGGCAAAATGTATGCGATAGGTGGAAAAAGTGTTTTTCTATTCAATTCCAAAGTACGTCTACATTAATTTTGTGACATAATACACACGCATGAATGAACTATATTTAAAGACCAGAACTGCAAATACTAAATAATAAAATCTAATACAATAATACAAATTGTATCAGCTATCTGAAATGGGTATTCATGATTAACAATTGTACTTTCCTTTTTTTAAAGGAGAACTAAGGAACATCAGTGGGGCGATCAAAAGTGCAGCAGGGGATTTGGATACATATGCTACGATAGTGAGTTTGTCTTATCATTATAACATATGTCAATGATTTTATATTTGAAAATTACAAACTAAAGCATGCCTAGTAATTCATTTCCAATTATGAACTTTACCACCTTTTGCAAAACGGTTATTGCAACAGAAACACTCTGTAGTAAAGGAAACAATTGAAAACACTATACAGAGATAACTGATTCATATTATTCTTTGATAAGGATACGCTACATCGGACTAAGCAATACAAAGCGGATACATATGATAGAAATATGCCAAAAAGGTGAGAAAACTATGGTATAATTTTGTATACTTTATAATATCTAAATGATGGCCTTTCAAGTGTCCATCTTGAAAATGTTTGGATCGCCCATCACAGTTTTCTTGTTGGTTGTGAAAATATATTTGAAGCAGCTTAAATATGGCATTGGATGTAATAGTCTCAGCTAGATGATGCATAAATGTACTCCTCCCTATGAATATCATTCTTTTTTTACATCGTTAGTTGTCTAATTCTACATATCTTATAATTCCTACAGACATTTATCCTATTGACAAGCGAGAACCCAACCAAAGAACCTATTTTGTGAATGAACTAAAGCATGATACCCTATCGCGAGGGAAAAGATGCATTGCATGAATCGAAATGAATAAATAAATCATAATGTAATAATGAATTAGCTGTGTAAGTATTGTCAAATGACGAGTGTCAGTACTTTCACGGGAAATTTTGAAAATATTTCATCCTCATATACAGCATAAGCTGAAGGTAATATCAAAGAAAGAGTGGTATGATTTCTACAAAGCTTATGTTTTTGTTGTGTCCGTAGTTGGACAACACATACAACCGTGTCTCTTTTCAAAGCTATAGCCATATCCCGAATCCAATAAATGTTTGGAAATGGCTTTGATAAAATTACTATCTGGAGTTCAGTGTCATTTAAAGTCAATTATTCTGTGATAAAAGAAACATTTGTTGGTCGTGTTATATTGTTGTAATGTATAACATATGTAGTCAAGTGACAGCGACACATTGCAAAATTGACAAGAAATATCACATGGCTGTATTTTACATAGCATGGTGTGGAGATATCAAAACATTACATGGCTGTAATTTATATAGCATAGTTCAGAGATATGAAAAACATAACATTTTTATAACTTTGTGAATATCCAAAAAAAAAACTAAATTTTAGCCCTGTGAATATTTCTCCATCATTGAATCCCATCCCGATTCAATTCTCTGCAGGGTTTTTTCTAAAAAATGCAAGAGAGAGCACTGCAATTCAGCGGCACCACCAAGTGGGGGAGATAGGGTTCTCCCTACCAGGGTGTGGAGTTTTTGATAATTCTGGGTTAAAATGGAGCATTGTACTAGTGTGGCTTCCCTGGGGTCAAAATTGCTGTCAGACAGGTTATATTTAAAGACTGTGGCCACATGTGATCCCTGGTCAATCAGAATGTTATGATTGCCTGAGAATCTGCTCCCCAAGGTAAGGGGCGCCTGGCCATGGCATGAGGGCGCTGCGCCCCTGTTTCCTTGTTTAAAAATCCCTTATCTGTACACAAATCGAGTAAATGCTCAATGTAAAGTGCATAGATACAGTATAGGCAATGCAGAGTATAAATACCGTATTTGCTATATTAGAAGCGCATGTAGTTAATGGAAATGACTGTCAAAATAAAACATTTCAATGATTCAGTATATAATAACGGCGGGTTTTTCGTTCATGTGCACTTGTATTGGAATGGCACTACTGACGATAAATCAAAAACAGTAAGTATGTTAATGCAATTCTATATTGCATTTCATGCTTCTTAAGCGTCCCATTAACTATTAGTCCTAGTTGAGCGTTCCCCTAATGCACAGAAGAAACGAATGTAATAAAGGTTCACATATATCAAGTATCAAAGCAATTGGAGTAGCGGTTTTCAAAAAGAAGTAAGCATTAACATTAATTTTTGATCAAAAATGACAAAAAATATTTGCTAAACATAGCGAATTAAAAATATCACAACAAAATGAACAAATCAGAACTGGAGATATCGTCATAAAATGAACAAAAATGAGGTCAACCCAAGGTACCTACATACCAAGTATCAACGCATTTGAGCTGGTAGTATATTCAAGAAGAAGTCGAAAATAGAATTTATTTTACCAAAAATATTTGGGGAAAATAGAGAATTAAAGATACCATCATGAAATGAACAAACCTGACAGAGAGCGGACCACCCTAGGTACAATGTACCAAGTATCAAAGCAATTGAGCTGGTAGTTTTCAAGAAGAAATCTAAAATGTCATTGTTCACGAAAGACAGGCGAACTATAGACCGATGGATTACAACGGTCAATCACCTATATGAACAGTTCCACTCTGCTATCTCAGATAATAGCAGAGCTAAAAATGGTTTCGTTTCCATAATAAAATGCAAGAAAAATTCAACTTTAGTTTCGTTGAATACGTAACTTTCCAGCCACGCGTAAATACTTGATGCGAAATGATGACCGCTCAGTTTTTTTTTCATGCACAGATTGTTCTGAAACTATGCCTTCTGTCCTGATAGGTTAGGTTGACAATTAACAATTCAGAAAGCTGGATTGTGACAGACGAATTGTGCCGATATTACCTAAGGCTCTGCAATATGGAATTGATTCATCTTTTTATTGCCACTAATTTTGGTGGAAAAAAAAACAGCACGTTTTTATTTTTGAGCACTTTTGATAACAGCTTATTGTCGAGTATACTCATTCATGCTGGTTACAATGAGATATATTGCTTTGAAAAGGCAACCGCAATGACAAAAAACCTAATTTCTACTCAAATTTAGGCATCAGAAAAGATTGGAATGTTGCAAATGCAAAGCAATGGAGTGCGACACTGACATGTAAAGTCATTATATATATATATCATTGTATAGTATTGTGTAAGATCAATGCATAATCTACCTGTGTAGTATATTTTTAAGCAGCAAACAATTGTCCAGAGATTGCATGGTTAAAAATTAAATCAAAGAAAGCTTAGAAATAACTCTCGTGTGCTGAATGCATTGGAGACACAGTACAAATTAATTTGAAATTACTTGTACTTGAGATATTGATTGAAAAGCTGAAAACTAATTATGCAAATATGGAAATTAAAATTAGCAGATTTGAGTGAAAAATAATATGTTTGCAGCCAGTGGTTGTAAAATGTCAGAATTTTTAGGAGTAACAAGTTCTATAAATTTATCAGATTTGTACATTTTCCTAGAGCATCCTCGTACCAAGTTTCATTGAAATGTGATGATTAGTACTTGAGATATCAGTGGAAAAGCCGAAAATTAACTATTTATGCAAATTAGATGTTTAATATCCGCAAATATTTATTAATTAATTATGCAAATTAGGTAAATAGTATGTTCTGATATTACCCTAGGAACTAAGAGGTCTGTGCAGTGTTCTATGACATCTTGGTACCAAGTTTCATTGAAATGTGATGATTACCACTTGAGATAACAGTGGAAAAGTCAAAATATTGACTAATCATCATGCAACTTAGATTATTAATATGCACATATTCTCACCCAAAACTAATCAAAACCTGGCATTAGTTCAGAGCAAGTTTCACCAAAAACCAATGAGTGGTTGTTTAGATATCAGTGGAACAGACATGGGACAGCTAAAAAATAGCTAATTATCAAGCAAATTATGTAATTAATAATCACGGATTTTTACCCAAAACTAATCAAATTTGTGCATAAGTTCAGAGCATCTATGTTTCATCAAAAACTCATGTATGGTTCTTGAGATAGCAGTGGAACAGACGGACACACACACATACACACACACACACACACTAATTGCAAATACTCCCATTTTGTGCTTCACACACGGGAGTCAAAAAGCACTTGAGCAAAATGTACCATCAAATGAATGAAAAAAGAAAATGAAAAGAGAAGGTACCGACTGACTGTGGTTTTCGCAGTATAAACCCTTTGAACGCCATTGTAAACTTTTGGCACTATATCTACAAAATTAGTTTGTATTAGTGTATAGTTGAAATGTTGAAAAATTGACAAACCTTTTGAACAAAAACTAAAAGCTACATCTGAAACTGTCTGTAATGCCAACAAATTTTACAAAATATTTTCACAGATTTTTGAAAGGTAAATATATCTGGCACTCAAAGTGTAACTGAATTGGGCCAATTGACTTTTTTGTGTGCAAAATATATTTATAAACATTATTATGAAAACAAATCAAGTGAAAAAAAGGGTATATAAATTGGGTAAACAGTCAATATTCCAAAATCAGCCACGCCCCCATCTCTCATCACCTTCGAGTTGTTTCGGCATTACGAGTGTTGCCGAAATGGCGCCACCAACTGTTTTAATACTACATTATAAGGACGGGTCAAACATACAGTGATATAGTGCTACATTATTTTTGTTTTCGTTAGACAATCAAGATTTTAGAAAACCATCCTGGAAAGCAGCAACAAATAATAATTTACCTAATTAAAATGAAACCAGTTTGCTCAAAATTAAGACGTTTTTAATATAGTTTAAATGATTTCAATAGCCATGCAGCTATGATGTGATTAATGGGTAAACAATAATTTCAGTAAAAAAAACTTCCTTAAATTAATAAATATATTTTAATATTTTACAATTATGGTAAACCATATGCGTCAATAGAGGACAAAACAAAAGGGAGAACAAAATAAAATAATACAATATGTACAAGGCTTGTGTGACCTAAATGGCAAAATAAAAATATATATCAATTGAAAAATTATAACACATTTGTAACAAGACTGTAATCATTATTTCAGTGTAGATAATTGGCTAATGTTTAGTAGCTCAATGATTAAACGATGTTACAGAGCATTCTTCCCAGTGAGGGAGATGTGTACGTACCATTTTTTAATTAATTGTTTGTTCATTTTCGTCGGAGATGATTGAAGACGATAGTATTGTTAGTGACATTTATTACTTATTTCAAAGTGATGGATAGTTATCACATATGGGTTTGTTACCCGCTTCTGATACAATTTTCAATC